TGGGGTGTGTGGGAGCGCGGATGGCGGCCGGGAAGCCCGCTGAGGAGGGCGGTGAGCTGTGCGCAGGGTCCCTCCGCGGCGCCTTCGAACGCCGGCGCCGGAGCCGGCGTGACCCGAACCTCGCCCGTTACGAAACCTGCTGCGGTGAGGGGGCTCCCGTCCTCCCTCCCCAGCGCTGCACTTTCCCGCTTCGTTCGTTCCCTGCTTGTTGCGAGTTGAGTAAAACCCAACCAGTTTTCAGAAGTCCTTCACGTTTCTGTCGGTGAAAACCCCTTCCCTGGATCTTCCCATATCCTGCGTGTTTGGTGTGGCTTTTAAAAAACCCGAATTCCAAGCATGCAAAATCATTTTCCGTTTAGCTTTACCGTATTGCTTACGGGCGTTCTTTGGTTTGGTGGAAAGCGTTGGTTCGGTTTGCAACTTCGGAGTCAACAGGTTGCTTGTGCTGCAGCTTGCCGGTGCCGGTGGTTTGCTATAGCAAACTGAAGTAAATGTCTCCGAGAAGTCTCTTATTTTTCTGAGAGCTGTAGTGTACTTGTGCTGCATGTATTTTCTAGCTTTGTATATATATGTTGCATGTGGGATGCAAACTTGGCCGTTTATGCTAAGTAACTATGGGAGAAGAGCTACTGTTGGAGTTATGGGAGAAGTTATTTCCCCAATATTTTCTATGAAACAGCATAATTTTAGTGTATGAGAACGCTCAGATTAGTATAGAGATATTTTTGTTTGCTTTGAATATCTAAAAAACTGATGTTCATGTGAAAAAAACCTGTTCAGTGTACTGTACTTTGGGACCTGTGATTTTGAAAAAAAATGCAGTGCTATTGAAGTGTTTTGCGATGAAAGGCTGCTGCTAGAAAATTCTGAAATAAGTCCATCAGTTATGCTTTGTAATTGGGCAAAATCATTTATGTAAGGACTACCCTGCAAGGCTGAAGAAGCTAAGTGCTCTCTAATGCCTGTCTCCTGGGTGCCCACTGACATATACTGTAATATTGGATATTAGCCAGATAATTTATTCTGTGACAAGTAGGTGTCCCCAAGGGTTTTAAGAGTGACTGCTTTGAGGAATTACTGCATACTGATTCTTCTGAGGCAATTTACAAATATGCTGTCTTACTAATTTTTTTTCACTGTTGAAGTTTTATAAGACTGGTAGTTCAGTGAGGAGTATGCTTTTATTTCTTGTGTGGAATGCTTATAGCCTATTGATTGCTACTTGGTCTGGAACATTTATGGATGGTCCTAACACTTCACAAGGCTCACCTGTTATAGCATGGATGATTTTCAGTAATTCATAGGATATAATTTTAAAAAATTAAAAATTATGAGTTAATCTAGCCACAAAAGAATGAGTTAAAAAAATACCGTACTTATAAGAAGCACTGATCAATTGTCATCCTTAAATATAACATGGTGGAGAAGTTAATAAAACTTATCAACATCCTACAGTTTTATATAATTGGTAAATTTACTTGTATGACTGTAATTTATTGGTTTTGAAATTGTGATTAGGAGTTTAATTAGTGATTCAGGTGTTGCCTCTGGTTAAGGAACAGCACAACTGCATTTTAAACATATGTAAGGGTAACTGTCTTGCAGAGTTAAAATAAAGGTATGGAAGGCCTGTGTTTGTAATTTAATTCTCTGGTCAGAGAGTAAAGTATTGTTTGTGGGCTTTAAATACCATGCAGATGTACGGGTGAGATGGAATTCTGGTGTGAAAAGAAATATTTAAAGGCTTAACTTAAGACTTAACTGACAGGACTGATTAGAGTGGAAGATAATGACCCTGACTTCTGGCTCATTGGCTCAGTTTCTTAGGGTTTTAGATCACAGTGAGAAAGAACACAGTAATTTAGAAAGGGAACCCTTACAAAACCTAATAAACCAGGATATAATCTTTTATTTAAAAAAGAAAACAAAACAAACCCCAAACCCCCAAGCCTAGCTCTCTTAACATCCTCTAAAATGTCAGATTTGTCAGTAGAGGTTATTAACATGATAATATTAGCCGAGATCATTTTGGTACTTTGTACATGCAAAACCGTTACTGACTTTTCCGTTCTCTGGAAGGATCTTGATTATTCTGACAAATCTGTTGAAAATAATGAAATAGGTCTTGGCAAGAACTGTGCCTTAATGTGAAACAGTGGGAAGCTAAGCGCATATTAGAGGCAATCTTCCTGCATCTTTTTCTTGTACAAAAATTGAGAATGGGCTCTTTTTTAAATAGGAGACTTTCCATCTTAAAGGTGGAGGGAAGGGGAAAAGAAGTGTATTCTTCATACGTCAGATATCAACTCCCTCAACTTGTACGTGTGAGTCAAATGTTTTGGATTATATACAAGGATATGTTTCTTTTTTGCCTGTGGTGGCTGGGGAGGAAGAGTTTTTAATCCAGTCTTAGTGCTGCTACAGTCCAGTTGCTGAGTAGCTGCAGCTCTTCTGTCTGTCACTAAAATAAGTCTCAGTGTTTATTAAGGTTTTTCAGGCTGCCTGGTTAGGCTACTTCAGTGGCCAGTGGTGTCACGATGGGGATGTCCTAGCCCAAGTGTACATATCCTGTATTTATTTCTTGCTTGGGAACTGAGGTTCTTCAGCAGATGCCAAGTTAGGGGAATCTTCTTCATTCGTATTTTGTTATATTTATCGCGTGCTGTGCTAATGGTCTTGTCTATGGTGGTTGCTCCAAACATTTGATAAAAAGGTATATATAAACTGCAGTTTGTCTAAAATGAAGATGATTCCTTTTAAAAAAATGTGATCGGGTAATGGAGTTACATTTATACTCTCCTACTGAGAGCATCCTAAGTTTTATCTGTCAAACGTTCGTTACTTGTAATGCTGTAAATTTGGGGAGAAAAGCAAAATATAGGAATAATTCTTTATTCTCTTTATGAGTTGATTCCAAATAATGGTATTATTTTTAATACTAGAACAAACATAATGGCTTTGTTGTTTGTAATCACTTTGTCTTTTTATGTGGTCTTTACAGCCAGTCTGACAAAATTTTACACAGCCGTAACTGTCTGTTGTATCACTATCTGAAAGCCTTTCAGAAATTTCAGTTTTTATTTCAGTAAAATTCCTTGACGCAAATTCTTTGGACTAGCTCATTTTAGTCATTGATATTTGCAAACAGCATCCTGTCCATTTGTGTTCTTTAAAAGCACGGTATAATAAATATATTTTATATAGTAAATTTTACTTGCTGCTTAAGGAGAGTTATTAATGATCTAACTTGCTTGTTAGTGATTTTCTACTTTTTCTTTTCAAAGAGATCATAATTTAAGCAATTCCTGTATTTGCAAATTAAAGATGCATCAGGAACTTTTTAGTGACAGATGTGTAGTATATAAGCAGACTTCACACAACTCAACTATGGCATAGTATTGTTGTGAAAGAATATGATCAGTTGATGAAAGTGATCAGTTGCATCGTACCAGAGCTTTGCTATCATCCTACCACGTTAATACAGTTATCAAAGGTAGAACAAAATTCAATTGACAGACCTTAAAACTTACCAGATATGAAGAGGAAGTTTGCGCTGGTAATACTCCCTTTCACTTTGCTTTACTATGAAGTGTTCTT